ATTAGATGTCACGAGCACCATTTTAATTTTGTCAACTAAAAATGTCAATAATTTTTAAAAAAGAAATAATTAGAAACACAAAGAAAAAAGATGCCATAAAAAAAAAAAAATGAAACAAGAACTTGCCAAACTAATTTATTCAAAATCCCAAGAACAATAAGAAAGCTTTAAGCCAATTTTACTTTGCAAGTCAAGCAAATAAGAAATATGGATGATTTTTTGAATGTTTTGCGGTTTTATTTAAAAAAAAATTTTTTTTTAAAGATTTTATTTATTTTTAAAGAGAAAGGGGGACAGAGAGAAGGAGGGAAACCTCGATGTGAGAAATATTCATCAGGTGTCTCTCGTACCCACCCTGACCAGAGATGGAACCTGTAACCCAGGCATGTGGTCTGACTAGGAAATCAAATCAGTGACCTTTGCCTTGAGGATGCAGCACCACCAACTGAGCCACATGGTCTGGGTGCATGTTTCGAAGATTTAATCATGTGCCCCCAAGAACACTGTGTAACTTCATACAACTGTCTCCTAGCACTGCTGATCTGGTAATTAGGACATGATGAAACAGATTCCCTAGTGCTTGCCATTTTTACCACCTCTCTTCATCATCCACAATAATGGATACTTACGGGCCTGGTCGGTGGGGTTCATAAATTTTCCACTCTTGGTGGATGATGTAGATCTTCGTCCCATGTTGACAATCTATGTGGTTCACTTGTTCATTTAAAAAAAAAATTTCACTTTAGAATGTCCAAACCTGTAAAAAAATTTATATAAGAAAATATTGGTGCTTATCTGAGCCAAACTGATGACCAGCCTGGCAGCAAGATCTCAAAAAATGCTCAGGATAATGACAGTTTTGCAGTCTCTTTTATACCTCTGAAATTAAGGGAGGGGAATATAAGAATGGTTAACATTGAGGTGGAAGAAAGCAAGAGGGAAAATATGACTGGTTTCCAGCATACCATATTTTGCCGTGTATAATGCTCACTTTACTGCCCAAATTTTTGAGGGAAAGGTAAGGATGTACATTATACCTATATAGTACCTAAACTACCTTGTATCTGTTTTGTAATTATTTGTTTCATAAAGTTTTTTTGTACCACAATATGTTAACAAATAAATGCTAAAATTTCTTTATAATACAAAAAACAAGCGTCTAAATTAAAAAAAAAAAAATTGAATTAAAAAAGTGAAACAAAATTTTTTTCCCGAAAGTTTGGGCCAAACACGTGGGTGTGAGGTATACACGGATGCATATCATACATGGCAAAATACAGCAGTTAGTAAGATTAGGTGCCCCTCGAAGATCCTGAAGCCTCTGAGGGGTCTGAAAAAGAGGCATTTCAAAAATGTGTTAACCTAGGTGCACAAAAACAATGGACAAGGCTTGCTTAACGAAAAGTTAAACCTTTTACTACAGAAGTTATAGGGCCAAGGTAAAATTTTTAGTAGCCTATATACAATGATACCTTTCCTTCTTTATGAAAATTTTATCATACGTTATTAGTCAATGACTCTTTGGGCAAGTGTTCAATTGCCTCGACCTCCGCTGAATGCTTCAAAGCTGTTCCAATGGCAACTAATTCACCCTGTTAAGGGTTTCCTTCTCAGAAACAGTGTGATTAGGGAATATGGGAAGCAGAAGCAAGCAAATTCAGTACAAATACAAGCCCTCACACTTTTGATGACCCGTATCTTTTTCACTTTCCTCGCTCGATTACCCTCAGGCTCTTATTTTGACCCACCTTTCCCAAACTGAACCAGAATACGAATTACAGAAATTTTTTTACAGAAGATACTGGAGCCTTAGAGTACGCAAACTATTTTTCTGTCTTAAAGCAGAGGCGATAGGGAAATCGGGCCCACAGAACCATGAGGGAACTCAACACAGCCAAAGAGGCTCCAGTGAGACGGAGCCCATTTCCACCCGAGGCAGCAGCAGCAGCAACTGCCAAAACCATAGCGACGGTTGACCCTGACCATCAAATCTAAGGCTACCTACCAATCAACGTGGACAGACAGGAGGCGGCGCTAACTGACCGGGAGAAGTGAGCCGCTTAACCGCTGGTCGCCTCTCGGCCCCAGGCTAGGGGATCCCCCCTAGTCCGCGCCCCGGGAGACCCCTACCACGGAGAGAAAGAGCGGGGCTAAAGGGCCTACTGTCCCGAAGCAACCGCGCGAGCCCAAGGCAGGGACGGAAAAAGAGTCCGATTGGAACAGTTCCGCAGGCTTACACTTCCGCTGGACTCTGGGACTGCGAGAAGCCGGGAGGGGACGATTCTCGGCCTCTTTTACTTCGCAGGGGCCTTCACCTCTGCTCCCGGTCAGCTACTCAACAACCGCCATCTTGAAACCTCGCGCCCCTCCACCATCCCTACGTCACTTCCTTTCCCTGTGGGCCCAAGATCTTTGCGTTTCTCCGCCCTGGAAATGGAGAGAGTAACAATGAACTCCAGGACCAGAGCCTCTTCCGCACCAATATAGTACTGAATTGGTTGGTTATCTGCTAAGAGCCCGCCCTAATATTACGCAGTACAAAGACCACGTTGATCGACACTTTTGTAGACCAATAGAAATCAGAAAACGGTGCACCTAGGATATATGATTGGTTAGTGAAAAGACGGCCCAGCCTCTTGGTCCGGAGGCATTCTGACCTAATTCCGGGTGCTTAATTTATTGCACTGCGCTAGATCGGCGGTGTCTAGGTCGGAACGTTTGTTGGCGCTGTTTTTGCCTCATAGAGTTGTATTAGTTTTGGGATTATTTTTTCACGACGTAAAATGGTGCGATCTTTTGGGGGTGTCTCTTTGAAAATGAATCCCCAGGTGTGTCTTGCTAGCGTCATGTCCGTCTGTAAATTCAGTAGTTTTTTCTGGACACAGAACGTGTGTAAACCTGAGCAAATCAGTGCCCCGTTTAAGAGTCGCAGGTTGCTTTTCTGTAGTAAAACTACAGGATTTTTTTCCTGTAGTAAACTACAGGATTACTTTTCTGGAAGGGAAGTGTAGGGATACCTCTGTCAATTTTAATTTTACGACAGGCAAGGTTGTTATATTAGTTTCTGGTCTCTTACCAGCCCCCAAAATCCCATATGATGCCACTATACGTACGGTATTATTCCCTTAGCTTTAGTCTTCGAAGGTTCTTTCTCTTCCATCCACTTTTCCTCCAGGATTCCTTCCGTATCTTTTCCACTTACAGCTAATTTTAAATATTTTTAAATTCTCTCGAAGGACACCCTTGTTATATTTCTCATCTTAATCTAAATATCCCTTATAGAAAATATGTTGGTATGGGCAATTCCTACAATCAATTATAAATATTAGCAGAATATTTCAATGTACACTTAACCGTTTAAGATTGGTCCTAAACTAATCTTTGCCTTAGGAAATTCTTGGTTTGGCTTTAGACTGACTTTTGAGTCTCAGAAAGAACAGTAAGAAGGTCTTGTTTAAAGTTTATAAATCAGGTAATAACAAAAACATTTAATTTTGAAGGTGAACTAAATTGTGTTTTGTATCAAATATTAAAAAACAGCCATGGATGGTGTGGCTAGGTGGATAGTGTGCTGTCTTGCGAACCGAAGGGTCGCAGGTTCGATTCCCCGTCAGGGCACTGCCTGGGTTGCAGGCCAGGTCCCCAGTAGGGGTCACCTCAGAGGCAACCACACGTTGACATCATCTGTCCTTTCCTTTCTCCCTCCCCCCTCTAAAAATAAATAAAATCTTTTTATAAAGTTAAAAAAATGATACAAGAAGAGAAAATTAGTACATTTGAGAATTTCATCTAGCTTTTAATTTTTGAGATATGCTGAGCCTATTTTTTTTTAATTTCAAGACTTTTCCTGAACTTGGATGGAAGAATCAACTATAACAAACACATTCTTGCATCAACAGCTTATTAATAATTTTATAAGTATAATCTAAGAATCTCAATGGAGAGTTATTAGTTGGTTCAGGGATTTAGAAAACAAACACTTCCACCTGCAGAAATTTAACTGAACCATTAGACCTCCACAGCCTCTGGGTTTTTCTCAAATTAGGTAATTAATGAAATGGGCCACCTAAAGCTTTGTATAGCAAGGGCAGCTTCCTACTTGCTGCTAGTATTGAAAATGAAATTTATTTTTTTCCCTATAAACTCATAAGGTAATAAATTACGACTTTCCTCTGAATGACATTATTATTGAAAGAGTGGCTACATCCTCTCCTGCATCCTAAATGCGCTTTATGGATATATATATCTGAGATTTGCTTTTTAAAAAAACGTGTTCCAGAGTGTTCAAAGATTCACAGGAGGGATATTTAATTATCATACCACATTGGTTAGGGTTGATCGCAATTGCAGAAGCAAAACCTTTATCTTTTTAGTTTTACTTTTATCTGTTAAAAATTCATTCAGATTATAGTGTGTAATTAGAAGTTTACAGAACTATTGCCTCCTTTTATCGTTGAAGTTAATTGTTACAAACCATATTTCAGTCTTTTCCAGTTTACAGAAGATTAGATTTAAACTGATGGTTGAAATTATGGTAGAATTTCTATTCCTTTCAAAGGTCCGGGGTTGGTGTCCAGGCAGAAATTATTAAATATGTCCACTTAGAGCTAAATGATGTCTGAAGTGGTAGAAATGAAAGACTCTGCATTCAATGTACATTTTAAGGATTTTGACTGGGAATTAAAAAAAGAAAAGGCAACCCCTACACCTGCTGCTCTACAATAACATTTACCCTAATATTGATCTGGTAGAGTAGAGGGAGAAGACATTCTGGTATACAATCTTTTAACTCACAGGGTCTAGCACCACCTGATCCAGGCATTTATCATTGATGCAAAACTCAGAAGTTACCTAGTTTTAGCATCTCTATTTCCTTTTTCCAATTTGCTTATTGTATTTATGTCTATGTTGAAAGTGTATGGAAAATGAACTGAATCTAAGAAACCAAACACTATTATTGAGAGAGAAACAGAAAATATTCCTGTGGCAAATAAGGTGGGCGTTTATTTCATTTGGTGTTTCACTGTGTTAGTGACCTCAGAAATGGCATGATGATATTTTTCTGAGGCTGACTTGAATTCCACCAGATGTTTCTCATAGCTTTTGATGGCTGCTTGTAGCTGCGTTTTCTCCACTGCTCCCAGGATGGCACGGAAGATCATATCTATGCCAAGGCCAAGAACAGCAACTCCTATGCTACCAAGGAGAGAAGCACCAATTTGAGCTAACACAGTGGCCAACTTGTTAATTATGCCAGTTGTGACATTTGAGCCCACAAGTTTTACAGCCACTGCACTGGCTGCAGAAGTAGCTTCTTCCAGGATGACTGAAATAACCTTTTGTACTATTGCAATTTTCTCTGTTTCCTTTTCCTTAATATCCTGAAGTTTTCTATAAAGGGTTGGTTCTAGTTTATCTTTTAGTGCTTCATCAACCTTTTGCAATTCCTTTTGGATTTTCATCACAGCTTGGATGATGATATCACAATTTTCTTTGATGGTCCCATTTCTTTTCATTTCAATGGAGGCCAGCCTGCACCCCAAATGCATATTTAAAACTGCAATCAGCTTATTGGTGGCATGGAAGCTGTCAGATAAGCAGTCAAGGAGCTGTTGGTGAAGACGGTGTACTTCTTCCCGCCTCCTCGGATTCTCTGGGTAGAGGAAGTCGCTCTGGGCCATCTTTCAAATGTGATCTCTGGAAAGTAAAATGGTAAATTTTCACTAAAAATCTTTAAAAAAAATCTGCTATCTGCATGGATTTGGCCAGGAAATTTTTTACTTCATGATAGCAAAGTAGCAATATGCTGTGTTAAGAATTCCTCAGAAAAAAGGTTCTTCAAAAGAATTATTTTTATGAAACATGAAGTCAGTGTGTGGAAATGTGGGTAACAATACAACCTATTGATGCATTAATTAGGGAATTACATTTTCTGGTGAGGGGAAGTTCTAGATGAGAAATATTTGTGTTAATAAAGCATCTGATTATTAATAAGTAAATAAGTAAGTCTAAAACCAAATCAAGAATTTCCTAAGACAGGTGATTATTCTCAAATAATATTGATTAACATATTTGAAACAGACCACAATTTGAAATGGTTAACTCTTGATAACTAGGGCTAACTAAGTTAGCTCCTTTATTTCTCTAACCCCTAATCACCACATTGAGTAGACCTACCAGATTGAATTCTACAATATTTGGAATTAAATTAGTAGGACTAGAAGACTATTAAGATGTCTGAGTTTACAGGGCTATTAATACATAATTTTGTTTATATACTCTTATTTTAATTTATAATATTCAAATCATTTTATATATTTTTACAGACAAATTCTCTAAACCTAAAGTACATTGAAAGGCAACTATAACAAAATCTTTACAAAAAATCCTTGTGGTGACAGCATATACTCAAGATCCCTTGGACTAAAATCTCCCTTGAGAAAGTTGCGATGGTGCAGGGGCAGTACAGTTATGACTATCTCTCTGGTTTTCCATTTGCAAAGCTTATTAATTAAATTATTCAGAATGATCTATATTGTATTTGGCCATTATTAAGAGAAGTTAGAGTTAGCCTCTGAAAGAAGAGAATGCTATTTCACAGAATTAATAAGGAATAAGTACCAAAGTACACCATTGAATGAATAAAACAAGCCTGGTAGGGACCTTATTGTGTAAAAGCTGAGCCTAATTAAAAAAAAAAAAGTTACCCAATATGCATACCTTGAGGAGGATTACTGTGTACCTGGCATTTTTATTTTTCGTTTAAACTCTTGGGAGAAAAGAAAGGGAAAATGGATTTCTGTACATCTGGGTGGGATCTGGCACCTCCTCTCTCTGAATAAACAGTATCTTGATTAATTTGGGCCCTGCTTTAGGACCATGGTTCTTAGCCTGGATAGGGGAATCTGAGACGCATCGGGGGGAAGGAGTGAAGGTGCTTTTTCCTTCAAGAAAGGAAATGTGAAAATAACATCCTCCAAGTCATAAAGATAAAATTTGGAAATGAAGAGGGGAAGACTTTTTAAAAATGGATTAGGAACATAATCATCTATGCTGTTAAATTTAGAAAAATGTACTGGTACTTCTGGTGGAATAGACTTTGTTTAGCATGGTCAGAAATTCATTTTTACTTTTGATTCGGATCCAGTACACACACACGCGCACACCCACATGCATGAGAGACAAAAATTTTCTCAAGACAGTACTTAGAAAATATCTCAATTCCATGTAAAGACATTGTTTGTTTTGTGTCTATTAAATAATCTCTGAACTCATCATCTGGTTGCAAACTGAAATTTGATAACAACAAATTTGGACTTTGATTTCTCTTTTTTCTTCTAGAAATTTTCCACTAAGCTTTTCTTTCCTTTTTTTTTTTGGCTCCTAGCTTTGAGTTATTATCATGAAATAAAAACCTATTTCTGACTTTGAATTCAGAAAATAACCAACTACATCCCTACTAAGATAATTATGTGAGAAGAGTCTTTCTTACTTTGAAAAAGTGGAAAATATCTCTAGCAACTATCATATGCCATTATCTGAAGGCATAGCTTCTAGAAAAGGTGTATGATTATATTTACCTCAAGATAGACAAACGGAAAAATGAACCTTCCTCCTAGATGGGGGGTTAAATGCTTCCATGTGATCAATTCCTCCTCAACAAATTAATTATTTTAATACAACTGGACAAATTAATCAAAATATATCTGAAAGACTGAATAAGTGTGACTTTTTCCAGGGAAAGTAATAAAGGTACTTTTTCCTTCTCAAATATTAAAATACTATCAAAATACATTATTAACCAGTATTGTACAGGGGAAAGAGAAGATGGAATTATGGAACAAAAATAGTCCTCAAAGCAAACCCTTCTATACATTTGATTTAATATACAATAAATGTAGAATCTCAATCTGATGTTAATTGAAATTACTATTTCACAAACAATCCTGGCATAATGGGATACTTTTAGGGGTTAAAAGTTAATTTAAAAATGTTATTAGCGTAATATATGTAAAAAATCAACTAAAGAATAGAAGAAAATGGATAATTTTCAAATGTCTGTATAGAAGAAGACTTTATATGCTTAAAACCATTGAAAAAATGTCATACAAACATTTGACTAACAAAGATGACCATGTAAAAGGAACTAAAAACAAAATGGGAAAAAATACAAGAAAAGTGAAGAATTATGAAACTCTAAAGAATATTATTATTAATAAGGAAAATAGTAATGATCTAATACCAAAATAAACAAACAACTATGAGCAGACAGTAAAGAAGAAATAGTATCTAATTAATGAAAGAGGTTCGATCTTATTAGAAATCAAAGACAGTACTTTTTCAACTACAAAAGTAATATTTTTTTCTTTACACACTGAAACCCTTGCACATGCACTTTCATACATAAATGATCCAGACCTCAATTCATAATTTTGTGCCAATAACAAGTTTGAGTAAGAGACATCAAAATGTGCTCAGAATTATTTTTCACATCTGATAAAAAGGACTCCTTTTTCTGAGTCTGGCTTACCTTCCTGGCTCTTTTCTTCTTGGGGAAAGAAGGGCTTTGAGAGGGTTTCTTAAGCAAATATCATCAGCAGGTCAGCCACCATACCTTCTCCAGTACTGAACACAGGTCAAGATTATTGCTATCCCCACTGTGAAATAAGTGCTAGAGAATTAGGTGGAGGAGAGGTGGGGGTTGAAGGTGAAACTAATGAATTATTTCTTAGACAGGTGAAATTTGAAGAGTCTGGTGAAAACAACAATTTAATAATTCAGTAACAATTTATCTAATGGAATAGCACCTTACTATGTATAAGGTAGTATGTTAGGCTCCATAGAGCACACAGAAATGAAAAAGACCTGGCCTCTGCGTTCACAGGATTTCTAATCTTGGCAAAAAATTGAGGAGGTAAAATTACATGTCAACTTGAAAGTAATATGTCATTCAAAATTATAGATAGAGGTGGTGCTTGACTTGTGCAAATTCAAATTTTAAACAAGTCACACTTTAGTATATATCGAAACTGGGCCAATATGGAGGCATTCAGTCATCCAGGGAAGATTAACAACTTACACCCTTTCAATGTGTTACTCCTAAATATGTGCTTGGGGTTTAGAGGAGAAAACTAGAGTTGGTAATGTACAGCATTTTCTCTATAGCCCGTGATAATTTAGTTTTGACTCTCAAACTGTTTACTTCACTCAGCAAAACAATTAATTAATTGCCCTTCAATTAATTGGAGTCACACTTCTTAAAAATCGCCCGTATTACTTATGCATGGGTAAATGATGTATTACTAAGAATATATAGTACTATATTTAAAAGGAGTTCCGGACAATGTACTTTCCTCTATCTTATTAACTTTTCAGTGGTGACCTTTTAAATATTGACTTTAAAGTTCAATCTTTTAAAAATCATTTTAGAATCATTTTGAAGTCATTTTAAAAGTGACTTTTAAAGATTGGTACCAGCAGATACCTAAGTGGTTTACTTACTCCAGCTCTGATTACCTGCACCTTTTCTATGGTAAATGTAAACTTTGACGTTATTTCTTTTCACATGATAGTGCTCCTTGTCAATTAAAAATGTACTCTGAGCTGTTACCCTCTACTTCTGCGCAGCAGCGTTTGTTCTGCTCTGTGTGCATTTTGTGAAAGGGGTTCTAAAGAGCCCTGGGGCAGCCTGAGGGGGAATCGTTAGCCAGGAGGGGGGGCTCTTGGGCTCTTGCTGCCTATGTCACCCGGGCCGACGCTGAAGCAGCTGTGCTTTGTTTAACAAATTTTTTTATTCTATTTTTCTTCTCATTACCATTTAATCCCCTTGTACGCATCCCCCGCCCCCCGCAATCGCCACACTGTTCTCCCTGTCCATGAGTCCTTTTTTCTTTTTGCTAAATCCCTCTACCCGTTAACTAACCCCCTCCTTGCCCCTTAGCTGTCATCCTACTGTGAGTCTCTCTATTTTGCTTGCTGGTTCAGTTTGTTCATTAGAGTCCACAAATGAGTGAAATTATATGGTATTTGTCTTTCTCTGACTGGCTTATTTCCCTTAGCATAATGTTCTCCAGGTCCATCCATGCTGTCATGAAGGGGAAAATTTTCTTCTCTTTTATGGCCAAGCAGTATTCCATTGTGTAAATGTCCCACGGTTATTTTATTCACTCATCTACATGTTTTCTTCTGTTGCATGAGTGCTCTGTTGCTAAAACAAAGTTTGGAAGTTGCATGTATTTTGACTTGTTATTTCCTTAAAAAAGAAGGAAACAAATTTGGGAACACCAGTGATCAGCCTGTCCAGAATGTTGGAATGGAAACAAAGACAGGTTTTATTGAGATAGATTTTTATGGAGTCCATGTCAATTTTGTTGAATTGAATAGTAAGCATTCAAGATTAAAAGAACATATAAGAAATGGTAGAGATATAGTGATGATTGTATCTGAAAGTTAAGGTTTATTTAGTGATATTATATAATTGTTTTATATAATTATATAATATGTAAGGAAGCACCTTACAAAATGAAAATGTATTGATCATCACATATTCAAATAAAAAAATCCTCAGGATACTTTTGCAAATAACTGTAGTGCATTGACTATCCAGTGCTATAGAAATTTAAAGAGAGAAATTAATATTGAGGTGATTAAATGGAGGCTTCATGTAGAAAGTGGCATGTGACAATTGCTTTGATAGACTGCAGAACTATAACATGTAAAAATCAACAATAAAAGATTTGATAAAACAAAGTATTTGAAAATATAAACTCAATAACACTAATATATATATATATTTTAAAAATCGAGGAGGAAAACACCCGTAAACCTATCATCTTAAGTTTCTTTGTTATTCTTGTCCCAAGTTTCTTTAAATGTATAAGTATTTTTACAAAGTTGTAATAATATTATAAATAAAATTTTCATCCTATATCTAGTTCTATAATCATTTCATTGGTTATATAAAATATTCCATAAAATATCTTTACTAAAATTTAATAAACCCACAATTGCTGCACTACCATAATATTCCAGTGAGTACTTTAATACCCATAGTCCCCCCTCCCCTTCTCTTATCTGGATTATTTTCTCAGGATAAATTTACAGAAGAATTACATAATTAATAAGAATTAATTTTTTTTTTACTTTTGATAGGTATTGCAAATTGCATTCCAAACTTTTACAATGCCACAAAAAACAAATTTTTACAGCAGTATTTTGGGTGTTTCAAAGTTATAAATGGTTCTGTTAAATATTTTTAATTTGGGGAGCAAAAGTTGAATTTCAAAAAGAATCTTGCCTTTGTAGAAATTCATACTGAAAACATTAATGATGAAATGATGCAGTCTCTGAGATCTGCTTCCAAATTCTCTAGAAGGGAGAGCAGCGTAGGGTTATTTATAGAGGAAATAAGATGGACCTTGTGTTGATAATTTTTAAAGCTGGCTTAAAGGGACATGGGAGTTTATTATATTAATATAGTCACTTCTGTGTATGTTTTAACTTTTCCCACAATAACAATGAAAAAAAAAGGAAAGAAAAGGAATATGATCCTGTCTAAGCCTCTGGTGTTAGTCTTTAGTGTTGCCTGAGGTTTTACGTTTCTTCCTGCTGCCACTGCTCCTCGCCCTTCCCCATAGGTCCAGCTCTCATGCCAGGTTCGTTTATTTGGGAGAGCAGGAATAAGGTCTAGGTAGTAAACTCAGAAGCTTTTCAGGAGAAAATAACAAATTACTAACTACCTCTGAGCCTCCTTCTTTAATATAAAACCATGACCTTTGAGAAAAGAAATAAGCTGATCATGGTGTGATGACACATTCTGATGTAAATTTTTCTGAAGACTATTTCTGGTCAGAAAGCAGAATATCAATGTCATTCATCAGCATTTCCCAAGTGCTTACTTGGGAAACACCTCCTACACGCTTTAAGGCATTAAGAAAAATGACAATATTTCTCGCTCTCATCAAGATAATAGTCTCTTTGGAGACACGCAGCAAATTCCCAATGATATTTAAATGTAATAACTTATGAAGGAGCATGAGCATTTATACATTAACTAGTACTAGATTGCATGTTCATCCTTTTACAGCTACTGAGTACTGATATTAATGTTAAAAACATAAAAGGAAATGTAACAATCCATGTAAACAAGACAATCACACTGGTGTCATTTCACCCATAATCCTTTCTAAAATTGATGTCTTTACTGCTTTTTCTTCTTCTCTGACTTCATTTTCTTCTTTATCTGGCATTTTCAGAGAAATAAATAATCACAAGGAACATGCCATGGGATCCTTTTAAACAAAGTTGTTTTGTTACCCTGTTATATTTATGGCCAGGATTTAAGACTGTGATGTTATTTCAGATTGTCTGTAATGGAGAACAGTATTATAACAATACTAATAGAAATACCCATATTGCTTACCTTGCTGTGTTTCTGAGTTTGGTAGTCCCAACTGTGGTTTGGCCGTATTGTTTAAGTGCTTTCTCATGTGGTTTCATCTGGATGTTTCTGATGGAATGTGATGACTTACAGGCTTTTGCTAGTCTCTGCTGGGTCCTCCTGCCTGTCTGGTTTATGGACAATTTTTGCATGGTTTAGTTCTCAGAATTCTTCTACTTACTACATTAATATAAAATTAGTATTTACTAAGTAATATAATTTGAAAGACTACTAAAGTGTTAAAACATTTAATTTTCTGTTCTTTAATGGACTTTTTATTGTTGAAAAGTGCTATTTAACTGAACTAATTCAGCTCAGTAGAGACGATGGCTCTTTGATTGCAGCCCTCAGATTTTGGGATTTCATCCTGTCAGCTAGTTTAGATATTAAGTTTCCTTTAACTTCTGTTGCATTTGTACCTCCATCTGTTGCTGATTGCTTTATTTAGGTCTCCAAGAGATGTAAATCCAAATATATTTCCAGCCAAATGTGAATTTTTTTGGTATGCTACTAATTCCTCTGACCTTTATCACTATCTTTTTTTGTTATCTTGGTGAATAGTCTTAATATAAAAATCTTAAAGACCAACTTGACTCTTTTCCCTTAACGTTTAGATCAGAATCTTGTGATCTTGCTTCTTTCTCTGGATTCTGTCCTAATCCCCCTTGCTTTCTCTAAAACAAAGACATCTCAGAAGCAGGAGAGTCACTCAGCCCGGTGTAATTTTGTGGAGAGACCACAGGCTTCTGCATGAGATTGTCCCGATTTTGTGTATTCAAAGTACCACTAACTGGCTATGTAAACTTGGGAAAATCACTTAATAGAGCTCTCTAAATATTTTCATTGGTATGATGTGAGTATGAGTACATAATCTATGGATTGTCATCAGGATTAAATGAGATAATGCATGTAAAGCACTTGGCATAGTATCTGGTCTATGGCAAAAGCTTACTAAATGAAAGCTTTCCTTTTTAAATATAAACAACAATAATTTCTGTTGTTATTGGGTAGATAGAGGATACAGGATCAAGATGCCAGCTAGGAGACATAAAATCTAAGTGTGCTGTCTATTGTAATTCTAAAGAAGGGCTAAGTAGGGTATTATTTTATTTTTGTCCTGGTGGGTCAATTTGTACTTCATGTATCCTAGGGCCCCACCAACTAGGGTCATGGGAGAAAAACAAAAAAGCAAGTGTAGTCAGTGGATCTGAACTAGGGATGGATGGATAGGTAAGATTTCCACAGATGTGTAGGAGCTGGGGTATGAAGGAGATAATATGGGTGCAGAAAATAGAAAGGAGCTGCATGAAAAATTGTAGAGCATTTTCAGGGGAAAAAATTAATCCATTCTGCTGGTGGGACAGGTGTATCTATAAGAGCTGTGAAGGGAAGGCAGGTAGTGAAACATTGAGAGCAGTTTGTAAATGGTCTTAAATGCCATGGTAGGAAATTTATTTTATTCTCTTGGCAATATCAAACCATTAAATGTTTTGCTTGTGGGAGAACAGTATGAGGATTAGATTTCAGAAAGGTCACTTTATATAAGCTGCATTATTTGGTATGAGCAATAAACATAGGTCAGCAACTCCAATGCTTCCAGTAACTGGACAAGATATGTAAGTACTTGAAACACATAGTGTAAGACAAAAGGGTATAGAGGATGAATGTCTAGTCTGAAGAGGACAACTTCAACTCTGGCTAATTTTTCCAACTCAGAACCTGGGCTTAATGCTGCCAGTTAATCTCATTATTTCAACAATCAACAGAAATCAAAATTTCTGTCTTCTGGTTTTTAAATTTGGCCACTGATATAAATTTTGAAAACGCATTCTGGTGGTCTAACAGAACACCTCTGCTGGTTGGATTGTGCCTGTGGACTTAACTGTGACCTGTGTGCTAAATGTATTGAGACCAACTGTGAGACCATCAACATTGTCGAGATAAGAGGTACCTGGAATAGTTATGTGACTGGCAGGGACAGGAGAGACAGAGATAAGTTCAGAGAGAATTAGAAAGTGTTAGGGACGGATGTGATATGGGAAAGAGAAAATGAAGATGGATTTTGAACCTCAACCATAAGGCAAAGGTTAAGAGGAAAAGCGTTTTTCAAGGAGACAAGTGCAGTTTGTGTATACATTGTATGGCATACACTGGTGCAGTGGCCTACAGAGATGGCCAGTAGGTAGCTGAAAATGCAGACCTGAGCATCAGGAGAACTGCTGAGGTTACACTACAAGGTTCAGGAGTCATCTGTATCCAGATGGCATTTGTAGTGATGGGAACAGTTGCAATCTCCAAGGGAGAAAGTATAGAACATAACCAAGGTCAAAGACACAGCCATGTTGAGCTTAGGAGACTGGAGAGTTATTGGTGGTATAAGGAGGAAGAGAAGCCTGTGAAAATAAAAATGTCTGGAGAGGATGTAGAAGGACCAGAGTTGTACATCATGGGGGCCTCGGGAAGAGAAAATTTTGAGATAGGAAGAGGCAATTGGCAATTTTAAATAATGAAGAGAACTCAAAATGGCTACGGCCTGGAAATTGGCCAACAGATTTGATAATTAGAACTTATTGGTGCTTTATAGGAAAATATGAGGGACAGAATTAATTACAATTTCTCTTTTGAGAAATTTGAGAAAGGAAGGAATGAGATGACATTATTACTAGAAGGGAAGTCAAAGTCAAACTTTTAATTGAGGAGGAAGCAGTATGTATGTACAGGAGAAGGAAAAATGAAGAGCGAGATGAAAGATACCACATGGCTGCCATAACAAAATGCCATAGACTGGGTGGCATAAAGGACAGAAATTTATTTTCTTAAAGTTCTGGAGGCTGGGAAATCTAAGATCAAGGTGCCAGTCGTTCAGTTTTTGGTGAGGGCTCTCTTCCTATTAGCAGGGAGTCACCTTCCCATTGTGCTCTCACATGGCTGAGAGAGTAAGTGAATGAGGTCTTTGGTGTTTCCTTTTACAAGAACACTAATCCTATCACATCAGAACTCTGCCCTTATGACTTCATTTAACCTTATTTCCTCGTATGACCTATCTCCAAATATAGTCGTACTGAAGGTTAGGGTTTAAACATATGAATTTGAGGGGGGGCACTCTTCAGACCACAGCACAAGAGAAAGAGAAGATGATTGATAGAGAAAGATTCTAGAGGAGCTACAAAAAATATTGTAGGATCATGAACAATGGTTAGTGACAATAGCACTCTTCTCCAGAGCAGAAGAGGAAGTTTGTAGTGAAAGTACAGAAACATTTTTAGACAGGACAGACATTTTGGGAATTTGCATCAAATTGCCTTATACGTCTTTGCAATGCTGCATTGTCTGCTTCCTCAGTCTGCTGTTATCCAACTTTCAGGGTTGTACGATAGTTACTTCATAGATTTTGTGAAAGAGTTTTAGTGGTAATCAGGAGGAAAGGTTGTATGAAGTGTGCTTGCTCTATCTTAACTGGAACCAAAAACTTTCTGTATAATTTTTAATAATTTATTCAGTATTTTCCATTAGATTGAATAGCTATTGAGGGTAATACCTGAGAATAGTGTCATTCCGTAATAAAGCATATCCAATTCAGAATCCAGTACACAATATTTGATATGTGGTTTAATTAAACGAAACACCTCTATTTTACTCTGTTTTAATAGTTTTGGTATTATTTTTATTAAAGCACAGGCTCATTTCTGCTTTAAAGCTTGTGTAGTTTTCCAACTGTTGACAGGAATTATCTTCACATTCAGATAATGCTTTGAGTCTTTTTTTTCTATGGTTCACAGATGTGCTTTTAGTTTTCATTTGGCTTGCTGCTTTGTTTTGCAGTGCTGAAGCATTTTTGCTGGAAAATGTCTTCAGAGTCAGAAAAGGATAAAGAGAGGATGGTTCAAACTGCCAAAATATTCTTTTTTCACATGCAAGATTTTGCTTCCTTTACAAACACATTTACTGAATTGTTTAACAGCAGTATGAATAATCAGGTCATCTGAATGGCTGTGAAAGAAGATGGTTATATTAAGGAAGTCTTTAAACAAATGCTCATAATTTTTAAGGAGAAGCAATCTGTAGTGGATGCAAAGGATGACAAGATGTAAAAGGAACTTTTATTTTTCAAGATTGCAACAGCTATGTGCTCAGTGGATGAGAAGAGTACCAATGTAAAGGAGTTGCATCAGTCAGCTAAAGAAGGGTTCAGAAATGTCCATATACCAATCATTGTCTCTTTGATAGATAGTGGTAACACCCCTGGGAGTTTGGAATCTTCTGTTGCACTCTTGATGAAGTACCGTCATTAATCTTCAATTTAGTGTCTTCCAAAGAAAAGATACCAAAGAGCAATCAGATGCTACTGCATCTGAAAAATGGCAGGTCCATTCGAAACCACTGCAATAGACACTGCGGAGAAGTTGCGGGATGCATTAAAAACTGACAGTAGTAAGAATACTATTTGAGTCAGCCACAGATCAGTTGGAGCAAATTGTCAAAACTATGGGACCAATATCAGAGATCCTCCAAAAAGCCCAAAAAACTGTGGAAATGAATTTTTCTGGGGTTAAGAAAGCCAGAGTAGTAGGAGTGCAACAGAAGTGCTCATTTCTGTCATAAAATCAGTTCAGATCCTGTGAGTTTTCATGGCACGTTCTAAGACTTTGATGTCAGATATGTAGTCGATTGGGACATTGACGCAAAGAATAGTTGCCTGGCAAACCAATTACTTCAAGTATTGCTCTGTTAAAAAAGAAACTGCTTGAAATGGTAGTTACTAAAAAGAATTTATTGTTTAAAAAAACCAAGATAATATTTCATTTGAAGATGTTTACAAATATTATATTTCATCTTAAATGATAATCGAAATAACTTTAAATTAATTTCCATTTAGTAATTATATTTCTAGTTACTACAGTGCAATGTCCCAGTAAATGTAAACATTACCATTAGGTAATCAGGCAGAAACAACTGTTGAGGGTTAGGAAACATAAAAAATGGCTCTCTGCACTTTCGTCACTCATATACCAATTTCTACATATCTCAGGGCCTTGACTATCATAAGCAATTACTGAACACTTTTGATAAGTTTTCTCCAGAAGTAAATAAGAACACTGGATGAGAATAGAATTTTCTTGCTTACATGAATAAGATCAGAGTAGATGATTTATTCTTATTTGTTTACTACTGATGTCTTATGATTAGGAGATATTAGGGGCTGAAAAACAGAGGTGATGATCTGATCTTTCACAATGAAAAGAGCATAACTCTTGGAGAAGTAGGATGTCTGAGATGTGCTTGTATTGGGGAAGAAAAGTTAGACAAGTTCATTTGGCTGCTACAGAGTCTTTGGCCCTCATGACTGTATGTGTTCAAGATTGCTGTATTTCACGTGACACCTAATAGGAACTTTATAGAAATTAAGAAAAGCAATTAATTACTCCAGTTCTTTATTGGAATTTTCCTTCTGAAAATGCCTAAGTTGTTTTCCTCATTTAAACATTTCCTCATGTAAAATCTTAAATCTTATTTTTTCCTTTAAAAAGAAATTTTCTCTATACTCTGTTCAAAAAAAGTCTGAAGCATGAGAAAGAAAAAGGGAAAGAAATTATGTGCGAGCATTTGATGAAGAGGGAGGAAGAAGGTATTCTATATGCTTTTTAGCCTTCTATGCAATCACTTTCACCAAGATAACCTCCGTAGTTATTAAAAAATAACAAAAGGAAAAAAGAAAGAAAAGTCCTGTAATATTTATAACAGCCCCCCTACCCCCAACACACTTTTTATCAGTAGCCAATGTTCAACACATCTTGGTATGTCTGAGAACATCTAGCTAAATGGATGTTGAATTTTACCAAATCAAGAACTAGTCCACTCATTATAAGTCCATTTGATTCAGATCATCAGACAATTCAGGCCAAGAATCCTAATTCCCCAATCAAATCAAACTCTACTGAAATTTTCTTTCACTGGATTGATTTTTTTAAAAGTAGGAATAAACAGAGAACTTCAGGACAAGCACGTAAGCATATTAGGGCACCGTATTATAAAAATAAAAGTAATGAATGGGGCCAGAATATTTTTGTATATACAAAAAGAGAGATGCATGTGTTACATTAATAAAATTACAACAGGATATAAGTACTACACAACTTTACACTGTAGCTAGCCTCTTTTCACTATCCATGTGAATTAATGCAAATTTGAAGGTCCCTTTATCTTCAGAAGTTATCACAGACTAACAAAGGAGCAGAAATTACAGAGGGTTTTGAAACTGTTCTAAAGTTTCATGAACTTATTCTCTGAATCAGTTTAAATCAATGGCCCACTTTATAGACTCCTTGCTCAAAAAATTGGGACTACAGAGATTGAGGGAATGTAAATCATGTACATTCCTCTTTAACTAAACCCACAAATCTACTTGATTCAAGAGAATCATTTTTATCTCCAGAGAGCCATTCAGTAAAGCAACAGCAGGAAAGGAAAGAACTAAGTTATCTTTTTAAAAAACTTCATTATTCCCTTCAGGATCATAATCACCTAAATTACAAGCTAAAGGGGTTTATTAAATAGATTTCGGTGGCTGATTCCATAGATTTGGGCTCAGGTCCTAGAATTCACATTTCTAACAGGTTCTGCAGGGATGCTGTTGCTGCTGATACTGGGAGCATGCTTTAAGAGTAACTGAAGAGAATTTTCTTACCCAGAAGACTGATTTCTCATGGAGATCAAATGCTTTAGGCTGGCTTTTGAGCTTAGCTGAGAGGCTGCAACTTTCCTCTACAGTCTACATCATTGCTTCACTCTGGCAGGCCTGTCTATTTTCTGACGCTTATATACATTGGTCATTCCTCTATCTCACCTCTTTTTTCTACTTACCTTTCTTTTCCACCAATCTGAAGCTCCTCCCCTAAGCCTCTTCTCAGATAGAAAGTCATATCCAATTCCAGGCCAGAAGAATCTCATTTTCTTTTGAACTCCAGTCACTTATTATTTGTAATTACTTTTGGCACTAAGCACTTGATACATACTTGCCCCTACTGTTTTTCCTCCTTTCTCTTGACCCTTGCTCCCACTTCAGTGTCTCAAGGCCTCACTCAGTGTTGTCTCCTTTGTGAAGCTTCTCATCTTGCCTCATTTAGAAAGAATGTCTCTTCTGAATTTTCATGAATGAGAGACTTGATTTTCCTCTTTCTTTTTGGTATTTCCCTTGTTACTTGTTTGTGTTCTTTTCTTAATTCCTCCCAAGACATTATGCATTCATGGAAGATCTGGTGTAGTGTAATTCAACATTTAATCCCCAAAGTGCTTTGTGCATAGTATGACTCAATAAATGCATTTATATGGCACAGGAAAAAATATATCTAAGATGTTGAGAGGCTATTCCTAACACATTTCACCACGGTCTCATTAACATAGTCTTACTTCAAAGCATTCCTGGGTCCTAGGTAGCCACTGACTTGCTAAAGTCCCTGTGCAATGGACTTAGTAATTATCTTTATGGAAATTCTATGTTTGCTTTATTGGGTGAGAGGCCAATGAAAACTGTGTGACAGCAATGCCCTTGGCCCTGATTTTCTCAAAATCCCAGTGTAAACAATCATAGTACTAGATGACTCTATTCTCTACCAGGTGATTTTATGCCTCTAATTTCCCATTGAGTTTCTTCTATCATGACACAGACCCTTCTGGAAGTCCTACTGGGACTATGGGAGTTGATTTTCACTTTTGCTGTTTCAAATCTCTAAGTAACATGGACTTTCAGAATTCAAAGATATGAAGCTAGCTCTCACTTTCACTCCATTTAGCCAATTCAAGGGTCTTTGGAGATGAGGTCAAGTAACTTCCCATCACCCCGCCTACATTGTGTAATACCAGAAGAAGAGGTGGGGAACATTCCCAACTGTGAAATTCAAAGATTTATATTTCTTTTTACCTAATTGTTTGCACATAATGGGGGCTCAATATATCATTGATACTGGCTTGTAATTAGATGTTTTTCTTCTCCCATATCTTTGACTATCTCCACACACATCCCCATGCTTTCCTTTTTTAAAAAAAATTTTGTTCAATTACAGTTGTCCCAATTTTTCCCCCATTTCTCTCCCCTGCCCCGCCTACCTCCTCCCCTTCAGTCAATACCCACCTTGTTGTCCATTATCATGGGTTCTTTATACATGTACCTAAAATATGTGAATTAACAATGAATACTTAAAATCCAATTTTCCATACGTTCTTTATAAAGTAACATATGTGTTTAAATTTTATCTTCTGTAATGGTTTGGAAACATATTTACAACACCCCATTAATGAGAGTGATTGTGATCTCACTAACATCTTTCCCTTGTATTTCTCAAGTTTCCATGTTTCCCCCCATCTGAGACCACACTAATTTGGTCTTGAATACTAATAAAAATCTCTGAAGAAAATTCACTCCTTAATTATGTCTGTGGGGTGCAAAACTTTCCCATTTGATGAAGAATTTGTCTTTTGCTTTCTAACTCAGGCTTCTCTGATTTGTTCTTATTAGGACTACTAAATAAAAAATAAGGGAATGTCCTTATATTCATCATAACTCCCTCAATTGCTTGAGATAAAAAGTTTAATTCAAATTCTTTAAGCAAAAATATAGTTTATTGATTCATGTAATTGAAAAGCCCACAGTATCCAGTTTCAGGAACAGTTGGATCTAGGGGATCATATACTCTCGTCTGTACTGAGTTCTTTTCATTTTTAAACTGTTCCTTTACTGTATTAACTCCATTCTCAAGGAGCTACTGTCTCCCTTCTTGGGGGCAACATAGCTGCTAGTAGCTCTAGGCTCATACTCTGTTTTTGGTAATCTCCGTTAAAAAAAGGCCCCACTCCACTCCCAATTCCAGTGCCAAATATAGTACCCTGAATTTATCTCTCAGACTCTGATTGTGTTATTTTCTACTTTAGCATGGCTGTGCTATAGCCCTGGAGAAGAAACGCACCGAGTTACAGGCCCACTCGTAGGCAATGGGCTAAGCCAGCTCTGCATCAATTAGTTGGGGGGTGATTCCCCAAGGATATTCAGGGTGTCCTGACAGAAATAAAGCAACAGGGTTCCAGAAAAACAAAATTACAAGGTTCCTTTATATTCCACTTTTGGAAGAGATGATGACGTTGATCAAAATGGAGAGGACCACAACAATTACAGGAGCAGGGACATACTTTTTGCTGGAAGCTGTAAAAACAAATAAACAAAAAGTTAGAGATGTTTTAGGTGGCAGAGATTTTTTTAAAACTACCTAATTTTTCTTTTGATTCAATTTTTTAACTTAGAAAATTTCTAATAAAAATATTTGAAATTAGCTACTTTGAAAAAAGTATTCTCAGGTATTTCTAACCAATAGAACTCAGCTTGCACATTTTACAGATGATGAAACAGGCACCAAGAAATTAAAAGATGTATTTCAGGTTACCCGACTAGAAAGTAATAAGCATTATTATTTTAGAATATTATCTAGGAAAAGTTGGCACTCAAAAATGATAAGCATTATTTCTTCTGTATCTTCTTTTATTCCTATTCTTATTGTTAATATTACTGAAGCACACGTTTGCACTATTGAACTTATTATTCTGCTTCCATGTGCGAAGTACTTTCTTGGAGTTTTTCAGTTGTGTTTGAGAGGGTGGATACTGCTTGCTATCAGAACATCTTCTAGGCATGTATTTCCCCCATTTTATAAATGAAGGAACCAGCTCAAAAGTTGTCATTTACCCGTGGCCACATAACTACTAACATATGCCCAGATCTTACTGACTTGGGGTCAATTCTCTTTCCACTGTGCCCTGTGGCCTCCTAGATTCATTCAATTACATGTGCGTTCTTTCTTACATTTGTCTGAGTTAGACACTGCACTTGAAGGTGAATGTGATGCCACAAATAGGGAAAACTAATGTGAGAAAACTGAAGCCAAGAAGAAAAGAAAATAGGAAATGGGAAGTTAATAAAATAGATTATAATAATGGTAATAGTAGCCAAAAAGTTTTGAGTACTTATTTATACAGATCAGATACTGTTTCTAAGTGCTTTTACCTTCCAGAATCTTATAAAGTAGGTTTTATTAAAAATTATTTCTATTTAAAAGAAAAAGCAAGCACAGAGAGATTAAGCCATTTGCCCATGTTTTCACCTCTAATAACTGGCAAGGTTAACATGTAAAACCAGGCTTAGTACAAACAATTGACTACATTTGTTTTTCTAGAAACATGCTTAAGAATCCTGATTATGTTAAACATTTTAACAAATAAACCCCTCTTCTTTGTAAATTCAATGATACAAAACAAAGCATGTGTTTGTGTGTCTACAGATTTTTGGCACAGATTATTTTGCTGAAGAAACAACATTTAAGGGCAAATAGCTAACATAACATACTTTGAGTTTTTCCATGGACCTGAAAACATCTGTTTCTATGGTAACTAGCATAGGTCATATGAGGGCTGAAAGAAGAATTAGTGGGAAAAACTGTCAGTTTAGAATGTCTTAAACGGTTTTTTTTTTTTTTTTACAAATTCCTTCCCTTTAATACTGGGGTCCGGCACAAATAATGCCCCTCTTTGTTATAAAAATTTTTATTACAAAACCATAAGCATGTAATTCTGTAACATAACAATATCACACTCAAGCACACTGTATGCCATTTTAGGTGAAATGTTCAAATTGCTGTCCATCTGGTGTGAGACATTCATGCACCCCACTGACCACACTCAAGCAGGCATTACTTCTGCCGGATCCTGTATATTATGCTATTAATTTGATTTCTCAACTCTCTGAAGGCAACAGACTCCTGGAAGGTCTTCGAACTTGAGAACTGAAGTTGCAAGTTAACAAAACCAACTTTGAAATAAATTGAAGGACTGGAATGCTCTTTAATCTACTGTCTCTTCACTAGGAGAATTACAGTGTTCTGGCTGGCCAGTTTTCAAAGGTGTTTATGTTGGCTTTCAGATATCATGTCTGCCACATTAAGAGGGAATGGGAGAGGAAACATAAGTCACTGGCTCACAGGGACTTTTGGGGATATAGAATAACTTATGGTTTCTGCTAGTAAAAAAAAATGGAAAGGAAACAGTCTACTGAGAAGATTCTACTTTCACGAGAAATTGGATATCAGTGCTCGAAAGCACCATCTGTGAATTCTCTAGGTTAATTTTAAGGTGAATTGTGCCACCCAGGTGACTGAGAGAAATGAAGTGGGCAAATGTAGTTATATAGAAAATCAGGTCTGATGAAGAGACTGAGGAGGAGCAGAATATATCATCCTAAAATAGGCCTCTTTGGCATAATGACTATTTTGAGCTGAAGGCTATCAAGGCCCAGCAGACTCAGGAAAAGCTTTTTATCTCCCCCTTAACTGCCTAAAAGAATTATCAAAGGGGTCCTGTACCAAGAAGAGAGCTACTATCAGAGATAACTTTTTGTATTAAACAAACTTATTTGAATTGCAGGGCAAACATACTTGTTTACCAAACATTTACCCTTCTCATCTTCCTACAAATTGTCTTCCTCCTCTTTAAAGCCTCAGATCCCTGTTCCTTTCCTTAGCTCAGAAACATTATAAGTTTTACTTCTCTGGCTGAGTTTGAATCTCATATCTTTATGGGGTTCCTGCATGTATAAAACTATTATTTTTTTCTTGTTAAACTGTCTTTCCATTACAATGTGTGTGTGTGCGCGCATGAGTGTGTGTGTGTGTGTGTGTGTGTGTGTGTGTGTGGAGGGGGGGAGATGGTGATTCTCAGCCAGGAACATGGAAGGGTACAGGGAAAATTATTTTTCTTCCCCTACATTGATCTTAGTTCCTCCCAGTGAAGGACTCTCAGATAAGAAAACACATTACTTCCCTCCGCCCATTGTTCATGTATGTGTCAATCCTATACTGCTTCACGGGTTTGGATAGAGTATTATTTATTAATTAACGGCAATGACTTAAAGAAAGTTTCAGACATAGCTTGCTTATTGAGAAAAGTTGCAGTTAATAGCTGAAAGTATTCTGAAGCCAATCAAAAACTTTCTTAAAAAGTTAGTAGAGCTAGGCAGATATTTGTTGTGTCAATTCCAAGGCTATACAGTCTTTGTGTCCTCAACTAAAGTGACTGTGGTAACAACAAACCAATGGCAGATGAGGCTTAGGTAAGGTGGAACCAGAGGATGAAGAAGACTTTTCTGCAACTTTCAGTCAGAGCCGAGTCCAAGGACAAATGTCATCTCTAAAGCTCGAGATCACTCTTTCCCTCTTACTCTCTAGACACTTTTCGAACTGTGCTGGCTGGGAAGACACTCCAATTCCAACTTTTGGTCTATGATACAATGTCTTTGAACAACATAACACTTTCTAAGACCAGTGGTATTTTTATTTTCCCATTTACAATCTCTTTTCCAAAGGCTGCCCAAGCTGCTAATTGGCAAATTTCTAAGAACAAGATAGTTATGGTAAGCCACATTGCAAGTAGTCACATTCCAGGTGTTTACGTTATGGCTACAGCTCTTTGGTCTTAAACAAGGGGTTGAAACTTCTAGAATATTTTCTTCTAGCAAATATTGGAACTGTTTTTAGTCAATTGAGTTGTAGGGTAATCTGACCCAAGGCTCAGCTCACTTAGAGGTGTGAAAGAGAATGCTTTATTTATTAATTCACTTATTCAACAAACATTTGCCAGTGAACTGAAGTTAGTAATAGTTAACACATATGTATCATTTATTGTATGCTAGAGAGCATAGAAATTAGTTAGCATTTTATTTTATCTTCACAAGAGCCCTGTAGGATTCTATTATGATGCTCATTGTATAGATGAAGAAACTTAGGGTTTAAGCAACTTGACTGAGAACACAGCTAAAAAGGGATGCAGGCTGGATATGAATACAGAAAGGCGGATCTGAGATCAAACTGCCTGAATTCCATGCCAAGCTCTTAAATACTGTGTAGTCAAATTAGTGCCCACAAAGAATTTACAGAGCAACACAAGATTATCGATTCCCTTAAGGATGATTTGTGATTTCAAATATCCAGTCAAGACCAATCAAGCTTCCTGAATCTAGTAATAAACATGGCATACCCCAGCAAGCCTTAACTCAAGACCAAGTTAAAATTGAGTTTGGATAGTTTTCCCACAGGAAAGCAAAGATCATCTGTTTGGGTGGTAGGGTCCTGAAATATTTCTCTTTGAAACTTACAGAGTGGCATAAAATGGGTAATAGTTTCAGTATATATTCCTCTCTCTCAGTTTTCTACTCCTTGACATAATGTTCTGATTTTTCACTTATTATATATTACTCTGCTAGTTAACCTAGTAATAGTTATTTGTCTCAAATTCATGATGAAAATGAAGCAACGGTATCCTACTCAGGTTCCAAAGAATCTTGGAACTTGGCTATAAATGTTCTCATTTATTATTAAAACCTTAGTTTTCTTCAGATTCTACTCTAAGTTGTTCATTGTCCTCTACAAACACTAATCTGTTGGATCTGTGGAGCAGATGTACGTTTCACTCCTATTGCTGCTTGCCACACTGACAATGAGAGAAGAGGGAGGATAAAAGGTGTGGTAGGTCACCTTTCCCTTGCTCTGCGGCCAGAGGAAGCAGGCCCTAGACATCAGTGTGGATGCCAGTTTAAGGCTCTTTGCAACTCTACAGCTTTGACAGGTTAAGAAATACTGACAGCCTGTATTTTTAACAGCAGCAATAATGATGGAGTAGAGGATATTTCAAAGGTAGACCTTCCTACCCAAAGCAAGGATCTTTGCAGCTGGGTTGAGAGTAAAAATCTGTATATATGGATGACATTCTCCCTCCTTCTGAATCAAATAGGGAACAGCATTTGCTACAAAACTACCACCTTGGGAAATGACTGTGGCTGGCAATATGCGAGGATAAAATGGAATCAATCACCTGTTTTTCTAAAAAAAAAGAGCTTTTCAATTTTTAAAATATTGTGATATCTTTAATTTCTCCTGCTTCAGTTTATTTTCTGTGATTTTATCAGGGCTGTTGTAAAAATATTGATCTAACTGGTGCTCCTTTTCTTAAAAACTTCTTGTGACTTATTACCTACGTACAGCATGAAGTTCAAAAGCCCTGATCATGGACTACAGATTTTTTATAGTCAGGCCCCACCAGAACCCTCCAGACATGATCACTCTCCTGCTTTTTTCCTCGTCCCAGCCCCCTTCCTATTCCCTGCACATCCTACGCTGCTGCCATCCAGAATTTTGGAGAGGCTCTGAAGTCACTAGGCTGTCTAGAATTTCTGTGACTCAGTATACTGTTCCCTGCTTGAAATGACTTGTCCTCTCTTCTCTCACTAAAACCCCCCATTCCTACTTCAAGTCCCACGTGGTCCTCTACTCTGAAGTCTTCCTCTCTTTCCCCAGGGAGAATGAGTAGCTTGCTACACTGAGCAGCCACAACCATTGCTTAAATGTTGGGTGTATTATTTTGTACTTTCATGTGTAGATATTTGTTTATATTTCCATTGCTCATTAGATTAAAAATCCTCCTAGGATAGCAGTTTTGCTTTATCCTTTTATTTTGCCTGGGGTCTCCTATGACAGTTCCCAGAACACAGAAGGCGCTTAATAGATAAGAGCAAATGAATGAATCATGCCTTCTGATTTACCTTTAACACTCCTTACTGATGAAATGGCCATAGCAAAAAAATAAGTTTGAGGGAGAAGATAAAGATGCTATATTTTATGCAGAGTCATTTCCAAGGTTGACTATCTCAGCTAGAATGGCCTATATATTAGTGCCTTTGTAAAAATACATTTTCCTAGAGATAGGTAAGGAGAAAGAAGAGAGAGGAAACTGAGAAATAAGGTAGGTTTCTTTTTTTCCTAATATGTCAGTTCTCCCATTATTGAAGGCCAATTTCTATGTTTTTGGCCTTTTCCCCCCAAGCCCACTCAGAAAAATATATTTTATAAAAGACTATATTTTATGGTCTGTGGTCCTGATAAGAACGAATTTATACCTTTTAAGAGTTGACAGTTATATCTGCTCAGATTTCCAGTTGACCGCAATTGCAACCAATTTCCTCTTGGGTAGTAGCTCATATTTACAACTTCAAACAACTCATAGGGAGGGACAAGGACCTCCTCCTTGAGAGAGAAGTCTTGTACAGGTGCACCCAGGCAAGTAAATATGGTAAATAGAGTTTGGTTCCCAAACTTCTGTGCTTCTTTTCTTAAGAGGGAGGTGGAGAGGAATTGGCCAAATCGAAAGATGGCACCGATGTTGGCTTGCAAGTAGAAATCAGCCTCATGATACACCTCATGACACAGAGGGTCATTCTTCGTTATAATTCCTTTCCTCAGCAGCTGTATTGCTGAGGTCAGGTAGTAATGCAGATATTTGAAATGGAATGAATGTTTATACTGCCACGGAGACCTGGCAGCGCTGGCCATGGCTTGAGTGAAGTCAGAGCGAACCTTGGTGTTCAATGTGTAAACCAAGATGGCCACAGCGTGTGTGATAGTCATGTTTGTAGGCAGGGCTTTAGCTCGGTTCAACCAGGTTAAGTGAGCATTTTGCCAGACCCTGGAATAATTCTTATGGACTTTTAGTTCTTTTTGGAAATAATCCTCTTGACTTAGCTCCTCTTTGACCCGTTGACTGCAGCCTTGGTATTGATCATCAAAGGAATCTGGTGCCAAGTCAAAGTTGAGTTCAATAACAGCCTGTAAGAAAGGGAAATATTGATTATAATTTTTTCAAATCAGATGGTGTATCTGACTGCAGATATTCTGTACTCTGCCAGACCATCTTCTCAAGGCCAGCGTTTGCTGAAATAAGTTTCACTCATAATCATTCCACTGCTCCAGTCCTTCCTGTATCAGTGACCTGTGTTAGAGATGGAATTTGATTTGATGAATATCACTGAAAACTCAGAAATACTCATCTCCCCAGGGAGGACGTGACCATTTTTGTATTAGCAAAATCGCAGGGGGTTTTTTTTGCTTTTGTTTTTTGCATATTGGGTATGCAATTAATAACCTTGAAGTTTTGTTTTACTTTCTATTTCCTCTTTTGTCTCCTTTCACATTTCATTATGGGTGTTGTAAGGACTATCTCTTTTAAAAATACCTAAAAGTTATATTAAGCCTTTGAACTTTATTTAAGAAAAGACTTAAGTGATAAATGATGTTGGGTGTTCCAAAGGCATCCCCAGTAAATAACAACCTTTTTTTCTGTTCAGTCTCTGAAAAAAGAGCAAAGTTGAGGGCTAAAATATCATTTTTATTAATGAATAATGTCATGTTGGGGCATATATCTTTAGGTCTGATGGCGAGTGGGCTTGTGAGGAATAAACCCCAGAGTGAGGCACACTTGCCCATTCAGCTACAGGTAGTGCTGACTGGCAGCCTACCCAGGTAAGGTTCTTGTCATGGAGGGACACAGACTTCCTGGCCTCTGCCATCAGGCTAGTTCCCAGGAGTAAGAAAAGCAAAGTTAAACTCAGCATACCCAGTTATTCTTCCTTACGTTATCAATCAAGTAAATTTGCTCACGTCCTGGGTATCAGAGCGTGTAAAGGTTTGGACAGTGGTTGGGAGTGTGTCTAGGAAAATCAATTTTCTTGGAAATCAGGAGCAGGAGAAACACATTTTCTAATGGGTAACCAATTGAATATTTCTTACTGATACTTAGTGAGTATTAAATTGAAGTTAGAGTTTGAATACAAGTTCACTAAGTACCGTCAGTTCATCATGTGCAGCCATATTTCAATGACTTAAATCTCAACATGTCTCCTGCTTGACAAAAAAAAAAAAAGATGTTTTTCTAACAAGCAATGCTCATTAAGGAATATATTGAAAGATAAAGTTTTGCCCCAGTCAATGTCAAAGATGTTGAGGTTGAAACTAAAATAAAAATGCCATTTGGTATTTTTACTGTTTATTTATGTTAAATCATCCATTTGTGTGTAAATTAGAACAAATTTTTAAGACTGCTTAAATAATTTTAACCAATAAATCTTTACAGCAAGTTTACAAGAAAACCTAGAGAATCTATTTAAGCCAAAATAAAACAAAATCAATAATATTACATTTTGTCAAATCTCATTATGATAATCTAAAAATATTATATTACTAACATCAAATAGTCTATGATCTTTTAACATTAGGTTACTTTCTCTTATGTGGAACTTTCAATTATAATACTTCTTTCAATTGATTCATATGATACATTCTAAAGCCAAATAAACTTGGTTAATTTTGCATTATTTGTCCTACACAAACAGTGCTTTACTTATATCTTGTGGAGAATACAGAAAATAATGTCATGCCACTAGCTTCCATTATGTCAAAATTATAAACTATAAAGAATTACACAATTGTAAGTAACTGTTTTCCACTCTTCACTAGCATAACTTAAGATATGTGAATGAAATTAGATCCCAAGTGCCTAAAGGTTACTGAAAGGTTGTGACCAGGGGAAGGCTATATTGGCACTTTAATCACCCAGAGCTTTAATCACTCTTCAATTGCACCCTACGTGGGGACTCACCGTGGGTGTCTGCAGGCCAGCCAACAGCAACAACAGAGGAAACTGCAATCGAAGAAGCCAGGTTCCTGTCACAGGAACCATAGTTGTTGGGAGAAGTATCTTCCTGTATCTGTTGGTCAATGGACAGCATTTGTTTGTGTTAAATGTACTTAGCTCTTGCAGCTTCATCCTGAAATGAGTTCTCACATTTTCTATTCTTTGAGTGTCAACAAGAACCTTTCTTGCTAACGTCTATGTCGAGACTTCCGTTGACCACCACCAACTTCACTGCAAAGCTGAAATCTCTCAAATAGCCAGAACTGTGCACCAAACAAGGAGTTCTAAAGTGAACTGAAGTTACTTCCAATTAAAAGAAAATCCCTAATCTAATCTGTATGCGGGGGAATTCCAAAGTCCTGTTCAGGATCAAGCTCAGCTGCTCAGACTCAAATTAGGGAGGCAGGAGACCGCACACACTGCACAGTGTTGGAGCCAAGTGGTATTATCTTGAGTGGCAGACTTTCACTGCGCGTGACATGATTGGCTGCTGCATTGTTGGGAAGATGCCACCTCAAGATGGGCCTACGTCAGCCCCATCTGGTGCTGCTGATAGGGGCTGGCCAGAAGGGATTGTCAAAAAGCAGAGAACCTTTTAGGGTTACTCTCCAAAAAAAGGTTGTCTTTGCTGCTTTTCCACAGAATCTTTGAAACTCTCCAAACCAGAAATTATACCTATTGGGGTCATTGCTCTTCCTGTTATGGAAGACATAGGATCTTCCATCCATACTACTTCAGTTTGCAGTAAACCCTAATGACTGTTGTCAAAAGGACAGCCTCTGCTTCGTGACAGCATCAGTGGAACTGGAGAGCATTATGTTAAGTGCAATAAGTCAGGGGGTGAAAGACAAATTCCATATGATCTCACTTATAAGTGGAACCTAATCAACAAAATAAACAAGCAAGGAAAATATAACCAGCAACATTGAAAGAAAAAACAAACCAACAGGAACAAGAGGGAAGCAGGGAGGGAGGTAATGGGGAAAAGACAGGGAAGGGTCAACTCAAGGAACATGTATAAGGACCCATGGACGAAACCAAAGTGGGGAAGGATTGAGGGTGGGAGAGAGGAAAATGGTGGCGGGAAAATGGAGACAAATGTATTTGAACAATAAAAAAAAAATTAAAAAAAAGCAAAGAGCTTCTGAAGAGCTGCAGTGACAAGCTAACACAGCCCTGGTATTCTAATAAACACTCCCTCATAGACACTGCCCTTTGCAGCCTGAACATCCTTCCTCTGTTCCTGGTCTTTGTTTTTCTTGAACACTTTTTCCAGTCACACTTCCCGATTTATTATTTTACTACAAAGAGAAACTGAATCCTGTTATTGGTAATTCAGGTACTTTTTATTATTATTTTAATATAAAATATATTTATTTTAATATATTTTTAATCTAAATTATAATGGTCCCAGTGGTTCTGTCTCATTACAAAAGTTCAGGATATCTAAAAAAGTATAAAGGAGGGAACAAAAGTACTCATAACCCATAGCCCAGAGAAAGATACTATTTAGATTAAGATTTGGCTTTACACACACACACATTATTCTAGGACTGAAATAATATAGTATGCAATTTTGCATATTGTTTTTTCCGTAACATTTTAATGTATGCACATTCCCCTATCATTTAATACTTACTAAAAACATAATTTTTATGGTTGCCCAACATTCCACCATAGGTTCTACCATGTGATGGAATATGGGGTACATCCATGGATGATGCTGTCTCAGAAGCAGACTGAGTGGGGAGTAGAACATGGGCTCTTGAGAAAGATCTCAGTTCAATTTCTGGCTCTACTACTCCTTAATATTTGACCTTGGGCAAGGTCATTAACCTCTTTGTTCCTCAGACTCCTCATATGTTACGTGAAGATAATAATGGTACCTACCTCACTGAATGCTTTGATATATTCATAACCCTTAAAACAACACGTGGCACCAAGAGACTGTTCAATAAATACAAACAATGGTCAATTCTTACCTGTTTATTTCAACCTAGTACTGTTGTAAATGATGATTTATGAACATGTTTTGGACACAAATTTTTGTGTGCTTCTTGCAGTTTCAAGACACATTCTAGAGTTGGACCATTGGCCAATGAAATGTGTTTATTTATTTATTTTTGGACTTGATGGAAAACACAAGAATGTATGAAAATGACTAAAAGTTCTTAACATTTCTCATTATCAACTGTTAATTTGAGACATTTAGGTATGAAGAGAACTAGAATTAGGGTCTGAAAATTTGAATTATGGTTTTAATTCTATAGCTTGCTGTTTGAGTTGACGTAAAAAAATGAGTAAGCTGTGCTTGGTTTGCTCAAATTTACAAAGAATAATTACCTTTTGTTGGGAGTGTATTGTGCTTCTACACCTTTTACTGTGTTATCTCAACCCACGAACAACTGTCAAAAGACACTATTTTAACCTTTAGTTCAGGGGTGCATTTGCTGAGGCCCTGTGAGGTTAGATAACTTGTCAGTGATAACAGGCCTTTTCCTCTCACCCCTGTGGCCCACTGTCTCCAAAAACTAAAGAATTGTGTGTTGTTTTATTATTGTCTATGAAGATTTTGTTAATTTTCCTAACGTGATTGCCAGTTACAGGCTAAGACCACTAGGGGACACTAGAAAACTTTGTGACCTTTTCATACTAGGGGAGAGAGGAAGAAAGAGAAAGAAGGAGGGAAGGAGGGAAAGAGGGAGGAAAGGAGGGAAAGAAAAAGACAGAGACAAGAGACAGAGGGAGGGAGGAAAGAGAGAGAATACCGACAATAAACTGGTGTAAGAAAAGGCCAGAGATCTGGTATGTGAGTGTGCATACATTTTTAGATTCAAATGAAAAAAATGTTTTCTGACAATGTTTAGAGCCACTAAAAATCATCTTTTATTTTATTTTATTTTGTTTTTTTATTGTTCAAATACATTTGTTTCCATTTTCCTGCCACCACTTTCCCCTGTCTTGCCCCCCTCTACCTCCCACCTCATAAAAAACCATCTTTTGCCTTAAGGGCTATTTTATTAAAGTTCTCATGAGGTAATTTAGTATTAGTTTAGCACTTGGGATGTACTCAGCTATTATTTTCTTGATGATACCCAGTTCTTCACAATGCAATCTATTTGTGCTGTCTTGATGGGTAAAATGGGCATGGATTTTAAAGTCGCACAGACTGTGTTGACATTTTGCCTCCATGACTTTCCAGCTTTTGTGAATTTGAACAAGTCACGCTAGGTCTCCATCTCATTTTCTTTATATGTAAAAGTAAGATGATAACACCAGTCTTGCAGGGTTGTGTTGACAATGAAGCTGAAATAATGTATACAATAACATGGAATGGATCTATGAACTACATTGTCTCGGAAGCAGACTGATTAGTGAATAGAACATAGGCTCTTGAGAAGGGCACCACCGTCCAACTTCTAATTTTATAACTTCCTTAGTGTTTGACCTTGGTCAAACTATTGACCTCTGTTGCTCAGTTTCCTAATGCCATGGACACTGAGCAGGTGCTCAGAGCTTGTTGGCTCTCTTTACATTCTCCTCGGATATTTGAAGACAAACAACTCATAGGGTGTCCAACAGAGGGAAAATTAATTGGTATTAATTTATAAAAAAAGCTGTTTTAGAAAAGATCTTGCTAGTTTTCTAGAATAAATTGTGATGCTCTAGACTGGCTTTTTAAACCTCCTTTCAGAGCATAGGTTGAAGAAGTCACTAGAGGGCCATGCCCAGGGTAGAATTGTACCTTTTACCATTAGCCTCAGGGTTTGGAAATGGTTCTTAGTATTTCCTGTTTAGATCTTGTTGAGCCTCTTCAGACTTATGCCAATTTAATGGGGGTATTTTACTGCCAGAAGTCCTGGTAATCCAAAGGAAAATAGTTTGATAGAAAATTTTTATAAGATAGTTTTAATATTTTAACTGGTCTCTTCTCTTTTACCTTTAATACCCTTACAGAAGGAGCAAAGCTACCTCAAATATGTCATAATTTTTTATGATTTTTTACTTAGATAAAATTTTAAACTTACAAAAACATTCCAAGTTTCTGTAAAAGGAACACATATATATCCAAGAAACTCACATAAGCCCTATCCACATTCATTGATTGCATATACTTTCCCCACTTGCTCTATCATTCACTCTCCTTTTTCTTAATCACTTGAGAGTAAGTTGCAGACATCCTGTCCCTTGTTAAAAGGTAAACTGAGGCATATAAAAAATTTTAAGAGTTTATTTGAGCAAAAACCAATCTGATTTGATAAGGGCACTGATATTCATCGAATTCATGCATTGATAATGAAGAAGCAGCAACGTGATTGCTGTATGGGAGCCTAGCATAATTTATTTGATAGCTTCATGGTAATAAGGAAATCTCCAAAAAGTTTTCTGACATATTTATTGGAAAAAATCTGCATGTAAATGGACCCATGCAGTTCAAATTTGTGTTGCTCAAGGGTGAACTGTATTTGATGGGCTATAGATTAAGCATTTGCCTTATTTGGAAAAGACTACTTGGCAGTTTGTGGTTGGTTAACCTTAGGTTTTGACTTCTTAACTTTGAGACTTTTACAGGCTTATGTTCTGGTTTGCTTTTGTAGGCTTACAGGCATTAGAACCACTTCAGTCTACTGGCCTCCTTATTTAACTAATTTAACACCTGTAAGGATAGAAAATTTTTTTCTTCTTCCATTTTAGGTTTTTGGGCAGGCAAGTCTTTCAGATTAAAAATGTTATCTCTGGTGATACAGCTTTTTTTCCTGGTACAGGCCCCCTATCTAAATTACTTTAGGCAGTTAAGGGAGAGGTAAAGTTTTTCCTGAGCCTGTTGCGTCTTATTTGCCTTGAGCTCAAAATAATCCACATGTCCATGGATTATGCCTTGGAATAATCCTTGTCCGTGGCACATTTTGGGATGCTGCATGCTGCTCTCTTTCACACTCTTTAACCTCATATACCTCAGAATTTATTTTCTAAAAGCAAGGACATTTTCTTACACAGCTACAATACAATTATCAATATAAAAAATCTAGCATTTATACAACACTATTATCTAATCTATAATCCATGTGCAAATTTCATCATCCATTCTTGTAAAGTCCTTTATAGCTCTTTTCCGGGATCACAATTTGGATTGAGATGTCAAGTCTCTTTAGTGTTCAGACTGGAACA